TGTTCTATTATATCTATAGCTTTTTCAATACAGTTAATTTAAATAAAATTGAATACAAAATGGCAATTTTTAAGCGAAGAATTTGTTTCATCCTTTCATACTTATGTATATTTCTTATACTCTCCTATGGGCTGCAAGTTCCATTGATCAAAGAAAGGACTTTTCTTAGGGGACTATTCCAGAGATTTTACAAATGTCGGAACTTTTTCTAATATTCATGTAGATAGTATCATTGATATTCATTATTTTTGAGTTATATTTTTTTTTTTATCAAGAATAATGATTAATCCTAAGTTTTATCAAATTACTCAAAAATAATGATTATCTGTGAAGAAAATCGTAAAAAATCAAAAGTTTAAAAATCATGGCGGCAATGCAGAGATTGTAAAAAAATAAAAATTTTGGTGTAAATAGTGTTTTTCTGGGTCCATTAAAAATAAGAGATTTTTTTATAAAAACAAAAAAAAAAAGGATTGAGAATTGGTCCCTGGTAGATACAACTGAGGCGGCACTCGGAAATGGTATTGTATGAAAGTAATACCAAGCATTCAGTCCCTGCCCAAAAATGGCATATACAGCGATATGAAAATGACTTGGTGCGCTTTGACGGGCAGCCATTAAAGCGTGAGCTGCTCTCAGGAGAGAGGAGAAGAGAGCTGTTAGATAGAAGAGAGAGAGAGAGAGAGAGAGAGAGAGAGAGAGAGAGAGAGAGAGAGAGAGAGAGAGAGAGCACAACTAACAACTAACAGCTCAGATACATTCGTATCGTTAATGTGTTTGTGCCATCACATATATATGGGTGGAATGTGGTTTACTGGTGGAGGAGGGATGCGGGAATGCTGAAATGCGGGGCAGGAGGCTCTGTTTTGGCAAGGGGTGTTGACGGGGTGCACGGTACCGGAGTATATGGGGCTCCACACTCATGTTGGCGAGTTGGTTGCATGCGCTTAATGCAAATCCTTGAAACCACTTGCGGCCCACTCGAAATTTTTAATTTTTCCCACAAAAGCCGCACTCGACGGGAACTCGAGGCGCATCAACATCAACCAACCGAGCCCCAACAGCCAACAACTCGGCAGCGGCAGGCCTCTGTACCCCTCTCTCGCACTCACTATCTCTCTCTCTCTCTCTCTCTCTCTCTCTCTCTCTCTCTCTCTGTGTCTGTCTCTGGGTCTGTGTGTGCCGCTGCAAGTTGCAACTGTTGCAATGGGCATGAAACAGAAGCACTTTGGTCTGCCATGCACCTAGGCGGCATTACAAGTACGCGCCATGTTCGTTTGTATTTCCAGTCCTACTATGTTATATATATGTATATATATATCCTCGCCGCTCTTCCTGCATCTATCTGGATGTGCGTGTGTGCCTTTGCCAGAGTAACAGTAAGAGATAGCCGAGTTAACCAGGCCTGGGCGTGGATCCGGCAGCTCTAGCTGTAAATAGCAAAAAAGAACCTAAATGAGATTTGGAAAACGAAATACCCATCGAAGTTTCAATGCCCTTCAACCTTTCAAGCATGTAATATTTCCTTGAAACGAATAGTAGAATGGCTCAAAAAATATGAATTTGGGAAACTATACAGCTAACATATAATAGGGAATAATATTTTATAATCCGAAAGCTTGGCTTTACCTCACAGCAGTATCGAGGACGATGTACAATATAGGCAAGGATTTATAAAGCTTACAACCCAAAGATTCCGCAAAAGACATTTCCCACTTCTGGGCAAAGTTTCAGAGGTTCAAAATCTGTGTACCTTCTGAAGTACTCAATAGAAATTGCTAATTTTTCCAGAATCAGAGTTTGAAGACTGGTTTTGGAATGTGTCAATTTAGCTTGGGAAGTATTCAAGTTGTATTCAAGGTTAACTAAAACGTAATCGTACAGTACACAATCTTTTACAGAATGTATGGGATCCTTTGAGCAGGGCATCAGTTGTAACTGAGAATGCCGCTGCCCCACATCGGCTGCCTCCCACCAAATGTGCGTCATAGTGCAGCTGTGGTCCTACCCCTGCCTCTGTTTGTGTATGTGTGTATTTGTGTGTATGTGTGTGTGTGTGGGGTTTGTGGGGAAACTCACTCATAACGCGCTGGGTGCTCATTGCATTCGTGAACTTTATTAATAATGGCGCCAAACAACATGAACACCGCCGCATCACAGCTCCACAGTATCAGCGTGCTCAGGAACCCGGATCCCCATCATCCATGTCCATGCCCGTCCCTCTACAATGGTCGTGTGCCTGCATTTCAGGCGAGAAAAATTGCACTGGCAGGAGTAGGGAAAAGGTGTTCCAACTTGCAACATACATATATGCATACATACACACATACACTCATATATAGATGAATATGTATTGTACGAGCATATATATGTTTATGTATATATATATATATGTGATGATGAAAAAAGTGGCACAGAAAAAAAGCAAACGGAAAGGAGAGCAAGAAATGTGCTCTGCAAATTATTATTTTTTGCCAGCGGCCAAGAGAGGCCCCCGCTACCCCCCGCCCACCGTCCACCTGCATGGGGCAGGAGCGGAGCTGAAGGAGTCTGGGTTGTAGTCGTAGTCTGTTTAATATGCGCTGGTGTTTTCCCTTTTAGGGTGTGGCTGCTGCAGATAAATACACACACATGTGCAAGAGACATCTTCCACACTTTAATCGCGCCAAGCCTAAAAGCAGGCGCGGCATGCGACAAGTCATCAGCTTCCACAGAGACGATTACAACGACGACGAGGACGACGATGAGGACGGCGGCGATGATGATGATGGCATTAATAATTACATCGCAGCATGTTCTCAGGCAAGCCAAAGACATTCATCTTTCTTTGGGTTCGAGCCATCACTCAGTCAAAAATTTCAGCGCGTCAACTCGTGTTAGGAGGTGGCTGGGGGAAAGAACACTCAACTCTTACCGGGTGTGTGTGTGTGTCTGTTCTCGCTCTGATGTGCTAATTACAGCTGACAGTTGTTCTTTTTTTTCCGTCTCCTGTCCCAAGCCACCGCCCTTTGTCCGCTCTATCCACTCCTTTTTGGAATTTGCGCGCCACGTGACGTATGAGCAATGTACGTGGGGCAATTAATAAGCGGCGGGGAGGCGGAGGGGCGCTCAATGAGGGTCTCGGGCTCGGGCTGGGCCACTCAATTAGATGTTGGAAAAGTCGCTTATTGATTTCTGGGTGCCTGCCTAATTGAATTTATGTATTTGTGTTCAATTGCAACGCTCCTTCATCGGCCATGCCTCCTGCCTCCTGCCCTCTGCCTCTTGTCCCCTTCCCCAGCCCCTCCTTCCACTCTCGACAATTTCCTTTGCTGCGCCTGTTTCATTAATTAAGTGCGCCCTGACCTGGCAGAAATCAAAAAGTTAACATTATAAATTACAAAACAGCAGCACGAGTGGCCCTTCCAGTTAGGACTGGTATCGGGGTGCGGAAAAACAGGAAAGCTGAAAAAAGGAAGCGAAAGGACACCGAAGCAGTTGGCAAGGAGCAGCGGAAAACTGTCAAGAGTCTCATTAATTGAACAAAGCATTCGAGTGTGGTGAAGGCGGTGGCGGGGGCGGGGGCTAAGATTGGCTGCTGCAAATTACCAGCGGTTCGAGTGGGGCACGGAAAACTGACCAAGAGCGGCAAATGAGCATCCAATTTTTATACAGAAATGATGACAACCAAAAGCAAAAGGCACTGCGGGAAAACTGTGCGAAAACTGTGGCAACTTTTCCCCGTTATGTTGTGTTTGTTTCTCTCACAGTTGCTACGTTTGACTAGGGAAAAGTTCCCGGCTCTCTCTCTCTCTCTCTTTTTCTCTCTCTCTCTCTGTCTCTTCTGCGACTTTTGAGCAGTTCTCAGGCAGGCAGCCAAGCGACAATGATGATGCAGGACAAACAGAGGAGCAGCAAAAGCAGCAGCAGGAGCAGAGTGAGAGGGTGAGAGAGAGAGAGAGTGAGAGCGCAGAGGAGAGGAAGCAGCAGAGCGGGCAGTGGCGCTTTGTGTGCTTCCGTTTCCGATTTCGTTAGTTTTTTGACTTTTCTAGCCAGCAAGGACGACAACGACAACGATGGCGATGGCGATGGCTGCTGTGGCAGTATTTCACTTTAGCAGGCTTCCTGCAGCACCACCACCCAGCACCTCTGACCCGCCGCCAGTCCCTTGGACCCCTGGACGGCCCCCGGCCCCTGCTTATGCAATGAAATGTTTCGCAAAGCGGCACTTAAGCGTACTTCTTGCCGCAGCAAATGTGTTTTTGGACCAACTCGGACTGGACTGAACTGGCAATTTCATTTCTAAAGTTCACTAAGAGAGATGGGGAGGAGGGCAGAATCAGCGTAATTGCGGTTATTTCACCTGTCGAAAATAAAACAAAATGCAGCCAGGTGAAAACAAGTTGCAATTTGTAGCTGCAAACAGTTCAATTTCACTCACGTACACCCACCCACCCACAGCGGCACCTGCATCGTGCCGAGTTGACAAGCTTGCCACGCCACACCACCCCCTGGACCCTGACCATGTGGGCAGGGTGACAGGGTTCCAACCAGCCAGCCAGCCAGCCAGCCAGCCAGCCAGCCAGCCAGCCAGCCAGCCGTCCTCTGATGAATCTTCTCCCCCACATGTCGGAGACCAGCCAAGCGCTTTAATTCCGAGCAGAAAAAGTCAATTTTCTGGTAAATTTGTTGAAAGTCGTTATGACTCCTTCTCAATCACTTAGATCTCTATTTCCTAACTGTGTCTACACTCAAGTGTGCCTGTGTGTGTGTTTGCTTTTTCCTTCCGACCGAGTTCCGGGTTGTTTTTTTTTGGCTTTTCATAAATACAGCCATAAATCAAGTTTCAGTTTGCCACGAATTGATTTTTTTTTTTTGTAACTGTAGCCGCTTTCTCCTCTCTGTTCTATTCCTTCTTTCCATTTCCGTTTCATCGCCTTTCACTCACGCACTATTTTCGCATTCCTTTGACCTCTTAGCCTGTTTGCTTTTGCTCCTCAAAATTAATGGGTGATTCGAAATGAGTAAGCAAGAACACTTATTTATATCGGGCTAACTTTGTTATCATAAAAAATATAACAATTTGCTGTCTTTGTCGTTACAGATTATTGCTTTTAAGGCTTGATCGCCTCACAGTTTGATGACCATGATCCGGGCATGCGTATGGGGTGCTGCAGGTGTGAAGATCACTCGTCCCTGATCGTCCTTGTAGTCCGCATAGCACAGAGAATGGATGCACTCCATGCCCAGTGCTTCCTTCTGTCGGGCGGAGTAGTAGCTCGTGCAGTAGGCTACCATCAGGGGGTAGCCCTTCGCCCGACCTACATCCATCAGAGTGGCAGCCAGGCGGGAGCCCAAGCCCTTCCCCCTCATCAAGGCACCCACACTGGTCATGTGGGAGTAGAGCGCCTTGGAGATGCCATAGCGCTCAAACAGGTTCGCCTCGAGCTCGATTTTTGAGAGAAGGCGGCATATTCGTCCCCAAGTATGCTGCTCCATTCCCGCAGCCTCCTTCCGATGCTTCTCCATGTCCTCGGGGTACTGAGGGCCGGCCAGGACATAGCCCACAATGCTCCCACCTTGGTTCTCGTCGGTGGCAATCAGGCAGGTGCCCTCTCTGATCATGGATAGATGATACTCGTCGGATTCTTTCTCATTTTGAAGATGCACTTGTTCTCCGGTGGAACGGCTCAGGGGTTCATCGGTAAAGAACTGTTCCTGCATGAATAATTTCACCCTAGAATAGTCCTTCTCGGCCATGACGCGTATGCTGATGCCATCCTTCGTGTTCGCTGCCGTTGACATGCTCAATTTCGTTCTCGCGTAGTTCCCGTCGGTTGCTGTTTGTACTGAAATCAGCTGGGTTCCCTTTATAAACGCTGGCTATCAATTTCCTATGTCCTAAAAGCCCGATAATGTGCTTGCACATTATCGTAACTGAAACTGTGGAATCTATAAAGTGTTATTCGGGTCGCTTATCGCTATCTTGCTTATCTTTCCCATACACTTACTGCACAACAATTATTTTGCTTGACAACTTTATGTTTCTCTATTAAATTTGTAACGGGAAAAATGAATTTTTATTTGCAATATTTGTATACCCGATACTCAAAAAGGGTATATTAGATTTGTGGTGAATGTTGATGTGTGGAACACCCAGAAGGAAACGTTTCCGACTCCACAAAGTATATATATTCTTGATCAGCATCAGTAGCCGGGTCAATCGAGCCATGTCTGTCTGTCCCTCTGTCCGTCCCTATGAGCACCTAGTGCTCAGAGACTGTAAAGGCTAGAGTAAACAAATTTTGTATTCAGAGTCCTGTGAGTCCTGTATCCACTGTTAGAATCGTATTTCAAAATTCCGCGCGGTGGTGGATGTGGATGTGGATGGGTGTATCACCCAGAATAACTCTTCCAACGCAATGTAACTTTCGATAGCTACGAGTACTTCCGATTTTGTATCTTATCCATTATTTCGATGTTACGAAGTGACCGTAAACGGAAAATCATTGAAAATTCTCGTATCTAATAGATTACCAAATCTGCTTAAAGGTAAGCGGATAAATTGTATGGCAGCAATGATGGTGATGATGACCTTTTCTGTCCCCGCCAGCACTCTTCCAGGGATTAGTGGAACTTGTTATTTTCATATAATGGAGCATTATCTAGTAGTTTTTTCTCACGTTTGATCGCCTACCAGTCAAACACTTTCGCTTTTTTCTTGGCTCTGTCTAAGGAATGGCAAAGACAAGGCACACTCTCTGTCGCTCCCCCTTTGCATTGGACTCCCCCCGTCACTGTTTGCATCGCACTTTTTCTATCTCTCTGCCGTTCCAGATGGGTTGTCATTGTCTTTGTTCCGCATTGTCCATCGATTGCCTGATAACACTCGACTAAAGCAGTGAAGTGCAAGTGCAAGTGCAGCTCAGGACAGCAGAGTGGCAGAAAGAGAGGGAGTGTCAGAGAGGGACAGGGAGACAACGGAGCTGCTGGGAGCTGCTGCTCTTGGCCAAGTTTAAAGTGGATTTCCGGTTGGATTTGTTGCGGTTGCGTGTCACTGGCATTGCTCTCGAGCCCGGCACCGTCTATTGACTGCCTTCGCTTTTATGTCTTCCGGCCAACATAAACACTTTACTTGCTGTCTTGCTGTATGTTGGAAGAAAAGCAGATCAAAGCAGGAAAGCAAAGGAAGAGTGGAAAGCAGATTGGGGTGGAGCGGGGCGGAGCGGTGCGGGTGTGCAAAGTTTCGCTGACAGCCCTGGCCGCAGAAAAGAAAAGCCCCGTGACAAATGTCCCTGCGTGTGAGTGCAGCTCCCTCCCCGTGTGAGTTCTCATACGAGCAGGTAAAAGTTGGTAGAACTTTTAAAACTTTCACAGCTAAACGCCTTGCAATTGCTGTAACGTCTATCCAACTGTCGGCCCCCCTTTTCCGGCCCGGCCCGTCCCGACCTTCTCGAGTGCGTGTGCTTGCGAATGAGAGCCATTATTGCCTTTATTGGCTTAAAGTGTTTGACAATTCATTAAGCTGGGGGAGGGAGCTGGAGCCGATGGCAGCATCGCATTGCCCAAATGCTTTACAGGCGCGTAAATTGCATTTTCGGATGGGGATCAGGCGGAACAGACACGTTAATTTGGCCGGACTCCTTGGGGCTCCTGCTCTTCGATGTGTCAACAAATCGCTGGAATTAAATTGGATTTGCATGAACACTGCTGGGGTTGTGGTGGAGGGAGGGCGGTGGCAATGGCGATGGCGATGCCGATGGAGTCTTGTGTACAGATTAAGCCTCAAAGTATGCAACATCAAATTGTGCTTTATTTCGTTCCAGATACGAGTGCTTCTGCTGAGCCAAGCCAAACACAGATGCACACACGTGTCCAAACTATAAAATAATAAACCAAATTTGCTGTTGAGCAAGTTTAAGTGAAAATGTTAAAAGTAAAGTTCTGCTCCGCCCTGAAAATGAAGACAAACATTGTTATCACCTACGAAACAGAGACAGAGACAGACACAGTGACGGAGGGGCTCCAAGGGCGGCTGGGTTCTTTCAGAATTTTCCTGTTCGGGGCCGGGGGCGGGGGCATGCGACGTGCAAATAAGCTGAGCAACAGAGCACGGCAAAATATTTATACAAATAGGTTATGCAAACAAACTTAGACAAAGTCACACAAGCAGGAGAGGCAGGGGCAGAGGTGGAGGCGGAAGATGTTGGCCAGGAAGAAGACAAAGTATGCGTCGAGAGGAATGGAGTGGAATGTGAGGAAAGTTGAGGCGAGGCATAAGCATCTCCCAGCACGCACACGACATGAGACCTCGTCCTGGCGCCAGACGACACGCTGCAGGACATAATGAAGTTTGAGCCCGACTCAATGAAATGTCAACAGTGGCTGCATGACGGCCCAATGACGATAGATGGTAATGGCGCTGGATAAAAATGTTGGCAAGAGAAGGTCCCTCCAAAGCGGAGAGTAGAACCGATAGATAAATATCGCATTTCCAAGTGCATCTCAGAGGGGGGTGTCTGGGCTCGCCCTCCCCATCACCTAATAGCCATAAATTAATTATGATATTCATTCGCGCTGGACCGGACGCGAAACTGCAGTTAAAGCTAGACTCTGGCACTTGGGGCATCGATTACTTGGGGCAGGGTTACTCGGAGACACGAGTATGTGTTGGGGGGTGGGCACATAAAACATGCAACCACAAAACATATTACATTTATTATCAATAAATTTTCATTAATTTCGTACAGCAGCTTGGGAGAGACTGAAACTCTCCCTTAAATCCCTTTTTCTGCCGCCGACTCTCTATAAACACTATCTCTCTCTCTCTCTATCTCTCTCTCTCTCTCTCTCTGTCTATTTCTCTTTCTCTCTACAGACATCTCGTTCTCTGGCACGCTGGTAGCACTTCAGTTATAACGAGCTCTGTGGGTCGTGGCCAGTTGACATAATTTACAATTTTAGTCATAAAAAGCACAAAATACCCACCCTTTCACACACACACGCGACACTCACCCCCACACAAACACCCATATACACCACCAACAATACCACAACAGCCCCAACAGTCCTGTAGTCCTGCAGCCCTTTAAAGTTTTCCCTGTGCTGTGCCAAAGTTATCCGAGAGTGAATCAACAGTAAATGCCACATCAGGCGGGGCAGGGAAAGCCATGCGCCCCATCTATAGTATTATTTCATTTTGTTCAATTTTCCAAAACTTGTATCTAACAGCTAATAAATCTGGGGTTGGCCAATCTGCCCAAATGGAATATACATACATACATGCGTACACGGTCAAAAATATGATTAGATTATTAAGTTTATTTTTTATTTTAATTTTTAATTTTGTTAATATATTTATTATTAGTTTTTTGATAAGCACCCACCGAGTATAATTAATCACTATTCTGTTCTTAAATATTTCATTAGCCCCTAGTAAAAGGTTTCCTTTGATCCCTTTCTATTCCAATTTGATGTCTCACATTTTTCCATAACCGTAATCGGTTTTTGGCAGTTGATATCCCTCAAAATCAAGCTGAGTTTTTATTGAATAAAAATTGTAAACCGAGACTTTTTGCATTTCCCCATCGTCATTCCGTGCAGAATCAACAGCAGCAGCAGCAGGAGCGGCAACATCAAAAGCATCAGGAGCATCAGCAGAGACGCCATTTTATTTTCTCTTTGTGCCCTGCGCTGTCATTTTTTCCTGCTGGCCTCTTTTCCCTTCCCTTTTTCACTCTTGCGTTCCAGTTGCCGTAGTTGCCGTAGTTGCCGTAGTTGCCGTAGCTGCCGTAGTAGTCGTCCGTCGTTGTGTTGCGTTATAATGCCAACTCATATTGCGCTCGTTATCCTTTTGTGTATCGTCGTGCAACGGAATTGACCCTTTTTGCCGCTGCGTGATGTCACCGGTGGATGGGAGCCAGGGACGGGCAAAGGTAACACGCGGTGATGGAAGCGGACTGCTAAAGTATCAAAAGTGATGGATGACAGGTTAATATGCGGCGACATTTTCATGCTGATGCTGATAAAATTTTCGTTTTCCATGCGGGCACAGGATATAGTCGGATAGTCGGGAGGACGCAAGGGCAAAGGAGGGCGGGGATAGATTGGTGTATGGAGTCGCACCACAACCGGATCAGGGGCATGTCTCCGTTCCTGCTCCCGGCTCTTGTGACATTTTAAATGCGCAGCAGACAAGTTTAATTTTACATAGCCCTGGCAAGCGTTCAAACAAATTAAGCGTAACATTTTCCCTACACCCACGTCCCATTCTCCGTCTGTCTCTCTTTGTCTTTTGCCTGTCTCTTTCTGTTTGGTTGAGTGAGTGAGTGCGGGAGTGGTGGAGGGGATCGGGGGATCGGGGCAGCAGCTGAAAACAGGAGACAAATGCATTAAATTTTCCTGCACAGCAGTGCGTATGCGTAATGTTTAATTGCCGTCAGCAGCTTCATTAGAAGAGCTGCTAAATAACTGCCAGTCAACCAAGACTACACCTCTCCCTATCCCACCAGCTGCAGCCCAGGAAACAACCCCCGAGCTCATCTGCATGCTGTTTGAATGTGCAACACGAAATGGCTAACTGACTGACTGGCAGTTAGGATTCTTTCCAGCTGCCACACTGCCTCTCGCTGCCTCTCCATGCTGCATGAAAGGGCGTGCGACTCAACGAGCGCCATGCGAATGCTTTGGAAAAACTTCCGCTCCATTAGTCTGCCTGTTTCCGGCAGCGTTTTCCTAGCACAATTTACGCAAATTGATGTCATCACAGGCAGACCAGGCCAGACCCATCTCCTTCTCCATCTCACATCCCATCCCCAGTCCCCCGCAGCAATCCCAGCTCGCAGTCA